TGAGACTTCGAGGGCGAAGTCTAGTTCTAGTGGGGGAGAATTGTAACAACCCAGAATTTTCAGGTATTTATTTTGGACTTAATTATGGAAATTGTGAGTGGACTCGGTGAGTCGGAGCTCAGAGTCTTACTATACTTTAGCTTAAGTAGGTAAGCAGAGAGTCTGGGTTGTTACAATTCTCCCCCACTAGAATTTTCAGCTAAAGTATCTCGATAAGTCGTAAGTCGCAAGACGTACAAGCTAAAGTATAGTAAGACTATACTTCAGGTATTTTGGAGAGCCTTTGAATCTCATAAGATACATCGCCTAAGATCAAGGCGAAGACGTACAAGCTGAGAGTCTTACCCTGGTGTAGCCCAACCTCAACCAAGAAATAACTAGTGTTTCCGACGTACAAGCTGAGTGTCATATCTCCTGAGGACGCTTCTAGCTTTCAAGGCTCTCCAAATCACCTCTCGGCAATAGCCTTTGACAACGGCTTTTTAATGATTTTTTTTGTTTCATCATTTTCTACTAATCTTATTTAACAAAATCTATCTTTATATTATCTTCGTCAATACATTTTTCTTTTTTACACTTCAACATTTATATTCATTTATGTTAAAAGTTTTTATAGTCTTCCTTTAATTTGTTCTTTTAAGAACCTCTCATATATAGTTTTTATATCTGATAATGTCAATTTTGATAGTCTTTGATAAAGGCTTTTTAAGGATTTTTTTTGCACATAAGAGGTTCAGTTTTATTTTGCATATATTTAAAAAGAAAAAAATATATATTGTAAAACATGCTCCCTTGAAGGTGGTTCACAATTTGGTGAAGATATAAAGACATCTTGCATTGTTTTGTAAGCAAACTTTTGTTACCTTTCTAGCCACCCATGAAGGCCCTATGATTTGAACTTAGGTCTCATATTTTACATATTTAATAAAATCAATTAATGAGTTAAAATATAATACAATTAATATTAAAACATGACTTAAGAGTATAAAATGAAAATAATTTTGAAGGAAAAAAGTTAAGTTTCAAAAAAAAAACCACTCAATGAAAAATAAATGGTTATCATAAAATGCAAAAAAAAAAAAAAAAAAAAAGGTCTTGCCCCCCACTGGGAGGTGCTTTAATAGAAGGCTAAAAGCGACCAAAATCTAAACCAATGTGGCACTATATGTACAAGTAAGTAACGCATTATCCTCTAAATTTCCTATTTACGATTGGGATTAAAGGACTTGCAACAAATCTTGTAAGAGCATACATAAGCAAATAAAATCCATAACAATATACAACTTTCGCTACAAGATGTACAACTCTCTAATGCATTACACACTCGGGACAATGCATTAGTCGGTTGTACTTGTTGTAACGGAAGTTGTAGATTGTCATAAACTACATACACTTAGGCAAACTAGTAAGCAGTAGTCGTGTGTTGAGATTCAGAGGAGGGTTGAAGCTGCACATGTGGGCAAATCCTATCAGGTTCGCCTCTTGTCCATAAATGTCTTAAATCACCTCTCTTCATTCCCAATGTTATAAAAGTCCCTGCAAATATTAAGTATAAATAAATCTGTACAAAAATTCTCTTATCATTCTTAGGGCTCCAACTAAACCTACCCAATGTGAAGGGAACAATGTAAAGCAAAGCTGGTTGACCATGTCCATCCATCAAGTTCAAAGCCACGTATGTAATAAGTAAACCTGCATGTTAAATTAAAATAATAATAAATTAATTGTTAAAAAAAATAATTAGCAAACTGTATGAATACAAGTTTGCGTACCTAACCCGTAAGCAATCATTGTCCATGAGAAATATCCGGTTCGAAGGCTCTTGCTGGACAACCAATCGTATCTGTAAATAAAGTCAACAAAACAATGTTTGACTTATACATTATTATAATCACTAATTGTATAATTGGGTAGATTTTTCAAAGTAGAACGGTGAATTGTTGTAACCTTAAAGAAAAGGCTACTAATAATCCTGGTAAAATGATATCCCCAAATCCAATGATGCTGTAGCCACCCCATGGATCAAACATCCTAGGGATTTTCAGCAGCATGGGAATCCCATCTTCACCACTGTTATCTCCACGAGCCACCTGTAAATTCATTAATAAATAATTAGTAATAATCTTCTAGTTTAAAACTCAAAATAAGAAAACTCACCACTATCATCACACTTTCATGGAACATCCATTTTGATACAAACACCCAGAAAATGTCATACAAGAACGCACAGCTCAACAAAACGGTTCCCACCTATATTCATCAAATAAAAATATTTATTAATTAATTACCTTAAAAGACGCAACACTTACTTAGAAAAAAAAAAAAAAAAAACAAAATTTTGATGATTACCTTGAGATTAGGCACTTGGATTATCTGGATTACTGTGATAATCAACGCGACGCCCTGATGTAAAAATTGAGATAAAAAAAAAAAAGATTTTATTCTATGTAACTATTTCATCTCTTTCGAAGTTGCATATAAATTCAAAACATTTAAACGAAATATATGATATTAGATTGAACTTACAAGTATATCTTGGCCTATCCAAGCAAAAGAAAAACGGCGATAAACAGCCCATACAACAGCAGATGCAACACAGAATGGAGAAACACCTAGTGTTAAATACGATACTGCCCCTAGAAAAGGGATCTTCACGTATGTTTTTGCAGCTTGTTCAAATAATTTGAAACTGGATTTATTAAACTGTTAGTTCAGACTTTAATATCTATAAAACCATGTAAAATTGAAGAATACCATGACAATAAAGCCACCAAACAAGTTTGCAGACCCTGAGAAGTGAGAACAAACAAAAAGAGTGAATATAAAAAATTTTCCTTTTGTTTATAGAAAAGAAAATACACATTTTGATAAAAGCAAATAGCAGTGAAATTATTGTTATGAGATACCTCAGCACCACCAATGGCAAACAAGACAACCAAGACTTCAATAAACCCGTATGACATCCACTTGTAAAGCATAACTAAGAAACATGATGCAATCACAACAAACACAATTGCTGATGTGGTGTTGATCTCCACCACACCACTTGAATTTGAAACCTCCATATTCAAGTATTCATCAGAACCATCCTGTAAATTTCACATTCAAATCAGTCAAAGTCAAAAGTCAAAAGTCAAAAGTCAAAAGTCAAAAGTCAACCTTTAACAGTTTGTCCTGCTCAATGGCAGCTTCTCTAGCACTCCAGGCAGACCAGTAAGATGCACATAGTATGGTGCCAACAGCCATAAGCCATAAAAACACCTCAGCAACATCAACCAGTGGCCTCTTTGGAGAGTATAGCTGCACAAAAACTGAGAATAACACAAGTTACAATTATAACAAACCACCAAGCTTGCTACTACTAGTATTATTTAAGGTTGGTTTTCACTTTTCATCATCATTTATTAATCATCTTAATACACCTGTCCTTACCATTCAAGTTTTTCTGGAGATTCTGTTTCAAGCTTTCACCAGCATCTTGTGGAAGCATGACTACAGGGATGCCGATACTAACATCAGGTTCATCTGGTTCACACACCATCTTGAACAGTTCTAAACAAGAATCAACATTTATGAAGTTAACATATATGTATATAGTAATTATATAGTTTCTTTGATTGCTAAAATCCCCAATAAGCTAACATACCTGTGCCATTGTTAATGATGAGGATAGCTGAAGCACCAGCAGCTTCAGCAACATTTGCCTTGGTTGTAAAGCTGCAGTTCCCTCGATGCACAAGGATAGTTTCACCAGTAAGCTACAGAAAACATGATCATTTAGATCACAACAAAGATTTTAAGAGAGAGAGAGAGAGGAAGAAGAATATGAAGAAAAATAAACCTTGTTTTTAGGTGTTGTGCAACAGTCGGAAGGGTCTGCAAGCGCAATTTTGCTTTTATCGGCATCCTTCTCCTTTGATTCCAAGGTGGGACCAAATCGGGCACCAACACCGACGAACTCATCTTCTTCTCTATCATCAATCCAGGTTGGAACCTTCACCTGTTACATAACACAAAAAATCAGCAAATAAGTGAAAATTTGTACACCTGAATTCGGATTTTCTATATTTCATATGATTGAGCTTAGGAATTTCAGTTTAGGGTATGATTATGATTTTCTGAGATTTAATTTGACTCATTTTATCAACCTTCCATCTCAATCCAACTCTAATACCTTAACGTTTGTCCATCAGCCTTAGAAGAACTTCAATTATAAACAATAATTAAGTAAGAAAACTATAGCAATCACACAAATCACCGTACACGGCGTGACACCAACCTGCACATAGCGAAAGCTCACGAGCAAAAAAACAATAACAATAACACATGAATTATTACCAGAACAAAGTTGTTGTCACAGCCGGGTCTCGTAGGAGCAACATCATCATGGTGAACAATATCGCCGGCGAATACAAGAGAAACACTGGAAATTAGCGAAATTACAACCACCGCAAGCACAGCTCTGCTTGGTATCACTACTGCTGCCTCCATTAATTTTGTCCTTGGATCAGGTTTGAAAGCTATCAGTAGTAGAAGGAATCGGTTCAAGAAAACGTGAAGATTGGTGCTGCTTCGTTTTGGTTTGTCATGGTGCGGTGTGACGACGGTGATGACGATGGAGTAGGCGGCATAAAATGGCGAATATATACGTACGGAAAGCGCGTGTGAACGCTGATTTCCCTACTCCTTTTGTTACTTTCGTAACCAACCGCAACAATGGCATTTGAAATGTCGCTCAACAAATAATACATTTTTTTGGAATTTGCAAGTGGGTGTCATGAGTTTGTTAATAAAAAATTATTTCTATATTATCATGTGCCCGGTTTAAAAGAGAGTCGAAAATGGCTTTAAATGGGCGTGGAAATCTGCACCTACTTCTACTCAAGCCCAATCGGTATTAAGAGAACTTAATTCTATTTTATGTAACCATTATTTCATGTAAGGGAATGATATCTTCAGTAGTCATTAATTGTTCAAGCTCCGCCACTGCATGTTACAACTTATTCAGAGATTGAAGAGAGTAGTAACATCTTTACATGATCATCATTTGCTTTCCAAGTCGCGTAAGCCAAATTTTCTATTGTCTTGTTTTTTGTAGTTATTTGTAAGGGAGGACACGAGATCGATCCATTAAGATACCCTGATAGTTTGTTTGCCGACAAGAAGGGTTCCACCATAGTTTTCCAAAATTGATAATTCTCCCTTTTGAGAAGAATGGCCCAAAAGTGGGCTGATTGAGCAGATTTTTCTGCTACAGTGAGTGACGTCATGATGACTGCGAGATAAAAAACAGACTTAGATTGGATTGTAGGGCGCCAGAGGGAATTAGATCAATGGAATTTCAATCTGTGTCAAGACTTAGGGTTAGGGTCGGCTATTGAGGCTTTGATACCATATCAAACCTTAATTGATTAAGGTAATCTTTTTCTTATTACGTTGAATACAAGAGTACTATATATATATATATATATATATATATATATATATATGTGTGTGTGTGTGTGTGTGTGTGTGTGTGTGTGTGTGTGTGTGTGTGTGTGTGTGTGTGTGTGTGAAAAAATTTACAAAAAAAACTTGATTTTTTTTTCAACGAATTTTAACAAAAACCTGCGATTTTTTATAAAAAAAATTAGAAATTTTTTTTGTGATCTCTAAGTATTTTTTTATGCATTTTTATGATTTTTAGGTTTTTTTTTTGTTTTCTATAAAACATATATATATATATATATATATATATATATATATATATATATATATATATATATATATATATATATATATATATATATATATATATGAAACATATTTGCAAACCAACCCCTTAACTATCTACTATTGTTAAACATTGGTTTAATACAATGAATTAACATGAATTGAATTTTATTTTCATCCAATTATTTTATAAACTTTGTGTGAAGTAGAAGCTCCTCTAATCTTTGCTTTATTTCTTATGTTTTATATGAATTTGATTTAAAGACATGGGCATGATTAAACTCTCACCGGGGTATGAAAATTCTATGAACCTTCCCTCTTTATATTCAACACCAAGACTAGACGGCTAGGTTCCAGTTTACATCATTAACAATTATTCAATAATATTAACACATTTCGTTTTTCAAATCTAAATAACAAATAATTAGTAAAATATGTTATAATAAAAAAGTAATGATTATTTAATTTATGCATTACAAATCAACAAATAAAATTATATGAAAAGTACATTTGATATGTTTTAAAATAAAAATTCGTTTAAATTTATAATTGCTTGTAGTAGGTTAAAGTATACCTGTTTATTGTTTGTTTTTGAGTTAATTTGTATGTATACGTTTTAAAGTATGCAAAATTAATATTACTCTATTTATACTAATTTATTTGTAATGTATAAATAATAAAAAGTTATATTATTAAAAACATTCATAATATATATTTATATATATATATATATATATATATATATATATATATATATATATTTATATGATATATGTATACGTTTTAAAGTTTTAAAGTATGTAAAAATAATATTATTCTATTTATATACTAATTTATTTGTAATGTATAAATAATAAAAAGTTATATTATTAAAAACATTAATCATAAAAAGTTAACTGAATTCTAATATATAGATATATTTATATGATATATTTTAACAATAATTAGGGAAGTATCCCTGCTTTGCAGGGATCGAATTTGAATTCTACTGTTTTTTTATTACATGTTTATAGTTTCCAATCCTTTAAAGGAATGACGTAACAATCTACAAAATGACCAAAGTACCCTTGGAAGTTATTATTATACCAGAATCAAACACATAAGACTTACACAAAGAAATCAAATTTCATAGGTTGCAAAGTTGCTATGCAAAACAATTCCCTAAACACAAACATGTTTTTTACCGGTGTAAATTTTTTCTACTAAAATTACGATGCAAGCTGCAAAACTACTGATCTTGATGTTGTACTGAGTAAGTTCATCCCTCACTTGTTGCAGATCCGCTTTTAAACATCCAACTGCACATAGATAGTCGGACAAACATATAGATAAAGTATGTTAAAGACAGTCACATCCATAGAGGATCACAAATAGTTAGACAATAAAGACACCAAGAGTGTATAATGAATAGAAATGTAACAACCTAAGATACGTTGTAAACCATGACTCGGATAAAATAGTACAACTGTAAAGAAAGAAAACAATTAGCTTCTAAAAAATGAAAAAGATACAAAGAACAGCAGAATTATAAAAAAAAGGAAAATCTATCAAACTATTTAAAATGACTACATGTTATAATGATTTTACAAAAAATAAAAGTCCAAAAACTGAATATGAATATCGTTTTGTCATATAATCTTCAAGCAAAAAATTCAAAAAATAGCAAATATTATTACTGTAATTTGGCACCATGATCTACAATAGAGAAAAGTTATTACCTTTAACTAAATCTCTAGTGGATAGTGACGGAAGTGCTCCTCTCTCTGTCACAGTAATTGCACCATAAGCATTTGTAACACTGAAAGCCTTTCTTAGCATCTTCTCATCCTGCAACACTGGAAAATGTTCAGCAAGTTTAATAAAACTCCAGCTACAAAAGCATCCCCTACACCTGTTGTCTCCAATATAACATGATTAAATAAAAAAGAATATAAAATTATTACCCTGATGTAATATCTACAACCATCGGGTCCTTATCCAATTAACAGAAAATTAACAATACAATGTGACGTGATCACTGATGACTTTTAGTTCCTTTGTTTCTAAGATACTATACTTTGTAAAGCTAGCTGAGTATATTACAATATGAACCTGTAGTTTACTAAGAACGTCAAATATAGAGTATATTACAATATGAACTTGTTGATACTATACTTTGCTAAGATAGTAGAGTCCATTTGTGACCGACCTTTCACATATCATGCTAAAAACGTCTAATGATGTTGTACCTAATATAATAAAAAATCTTTGTATAGAAAAATCATATAGATTGTCTGCGAGTAATTAAAGAAGAAAATATGAAATACATCTATTAGAGTTACAGAGAGTAACCAAGTAAAAAGAGTCCTACATGTCGATACGTAGCGTTTCTGCTGTTGATGAGCACTCCAGACTGTAAATTTCTTCACACCTAAGAATAAACAATTGAAAAGGAGGGAAGTGGGGATCAGAGAAAAAGAAGTACCTGATTGAGAAAATGGGTTTTGAAGAGATGGTAGCCGGAAAGTTAGGAGTGAGGGTCGGTCATGGTAGGGTTCAATCGTCTACATGAGTACTGAAATCCACTACAAACATAAAATCGAAACCAAATTAACATGTGATTGGAACTGAAATCCACAGCGAGATGAAATTAATATGCAACCTTACAGCCTTCAGTTGTATTGGATACAAACAACCGATAGATAATTGAAAATCAATTAGAAACCACATAACACATACCAGAATCAGAAATCTATTGCGACAGAGAAATTGGCGAGTTCGGGTTTGATTGATTTTAAGAGGAAGACGGAGCAGCAGGTGGTCGAAGGCGGTAGCTATCGACGTCAAAGAGATCCCTGATATGGAGATGGACAAACAGACGATGGAAATCAATTTAAGGTTTTTGTTGGGCACCATCGATGACCGCTCACTGGGATATTGAGGAAGCATCGATGACGTTGGTTTCATGGATTTGAGAGGAAATAAGGTGTTAGTGTCAACGGAGGTAGAATTTGAAGACATAATGGAAGAGGGAGGTGTAAGGCGATGGTTTGGAGGAGCGTATGGAGGGATGGAAGGAAGTCAAAGAAGCGGTATCTGATTGTAATCAACGATGTATGAAATCAGTGGGGGTAGATCATAGGACGGTGGGAAACAAAGGTTCGAGAAGCAGATTATGATTGGATGAAAGGGCGGTGGGATTATATAAAAAAAAAAATAGAGAGGTCCAATAAAATAAAAGAACTGTTACCTAAGGAACTTGAAATCAATGGTATTATAAATCCGTAGATTAAATATACACTGCATTTGGTAAAAAAAGATTAAATAGTAAATGTATTAACCTTTTTATTTTATGGCCATTTTGGTAAAAAAAGATTAAATAGTAAATGAAGGTATTTTTTTTACCACTTATCATACTTTCATTTAATTTGTCTAATGTTATTTTATGGCCATTTTGAATTAATTTTTTTCTCACATGTTATTTTATGAGTTTTTTATTTTATTAAATTCCACATAATATTTTAATATAATAATTGCAATAAATGTATATCAATTTTACTTACCTTTTTAATTTCATAATTTCTAAAATTAAAGCTTATTAGTTTATTTTATTTATTTAAATTTAAAAGATAAAAAATATTTTCATTATAATAACTCATTGTTTCTCTTATTTTCTTATAAATTCAAAGTTTTCAAATATTTTGATTTGAAAAATTAAATATCCTCCTACATTTTATTCCTACTTATCTTCTATCATATCAAATGTTGACACGTGTCACATTTATTAACACATTTAATGAAATTGATTTAAATGTTGTCCATTTGTCAACATTTAATGTAAATAGGAGGATAATAGAAATAAAATGTACGAAAATTTTTAATTTCTCTTTTGATTTTTATATATATATTTTTTAAATTAACTCATATAATACATATTTCTACAACTAATTAATATAATAATAAAAATAATTGTTTTCTAATATGAGATGAAACCCATAGGCCATACGTATTAGGGTTTAGGGTTTAGGGTTTAAACTTCTTTCAACGGTTGAAGAGCAGGGATGACATGGACTCCCAAGTTTAGGGTTTAAACTTCTTTCAATGCTATTTGCAAAAGGTATTGACGCTACAAATGTGGATGTCCTAATACATTTAAAAGGAACCCAAGTTTCATAAATGTGTTTTTTGTCATTAAGCTTTCAAATTTCGATTTATTGTTATAAATTTATGTAAAATTTTGAAATAAAATTACCATACCACGTCCATATAAGTCATTTTTGCAAAATTTGATTAAATTTTTAGTGAAAATGAAAACATATGATAACTTGTTATGGGCTGATAAGGAAGAATCTTTAGGTCTAACTATGGTGATGGTTAGGTGAGCACATGAATTCAACATGAACCCCGCAACTGTTTTGGTTTAGAAACAAATTAGCACATATCAACAAATAAGACGATAATTTTACTATAAAGAAATCAGAATTTTATAACCACTTGAAAAATCTGTTGTCCTAAGGTATAACTCATTGCAAAAAAAAAAAACAAAAAAACAAAAAAAAACAAAAAACAAAAAAACAAAAAAACAAGCAAATCATACAATACAATTTTTGGTGTATATTTTAATGGACATGTTGTATAAAAGACATTAGGTCTACAAAAATATTTAATTTTAATATTGTGTTTATTTTTTTTTTTCTCAATTAGGTCTCTAAGTTTAATTGTTGCAAATTTAACCAATAAGTTTAATTGTTGTAAATTTAACCAATCGAACTGTATATTTCAAGTGTTTCATGTTTCAGTAGCTGACTAGACCAAAAACTCATGTTGCTTCCATATATGATATGAGTTAGCCAACGTTTGAGTTAAATTGAATCTTTATGTAGATTTGTACTCGTTTTCATTTATTACTTTTTATTTTATTCTTTTACAACATCACAATTTGTGCAATGACTTTCTAAGGTCGTGCAAGTGGTTCACCAACTCAGAGTGGTGTAAACAAAACAATTTGTCTTGCTTACATCACTCTGAGATGATGAACCACTTGAGCTATGCGGGGACGTCATTGCAAAAAATCGTGATTCTCTAAGAAAATAAAATAAGAAAAAATAAGAAAAAGTGAATATAGATCTACATAAGTGTTCAATTTAATCAAAATATTTACTATGTGAACGCCATATTAATTTTTTTATCCAGTCAGCAAGTGATATACATGAAACACCTAAAACAAATCATTTGTTTAGTTAAATTTACAATATATATATATATATATATATAAAATGAATTAATTGAGAGAAAAGAAAACACAATGTCATTTTGTTTCTGTAAAACTTAATATCTATTATACAATTTACCTTATTTTAATTGTACAATATATTTTTATATTTAACTGATTTTTCTCATATTGCGAAGAATTCCCCCTGCAACTTTGGATTTCTAATGATAAACTTGATTTTAAAAGTCACTAAAAGAAGCGAATAGAAGCGAATAGAATTTTTTTTATTAATCCAATTGAAAATTTAATAAATCTTCCATAATAAATGAAAATAAATTTGACATTTATCATCCTCTTATGCATTAAGTTACATATCATTTTATAATAAATTTAGATTAAATTATATCTGTCATTTTGTGGGGTTTTTTTTCCATTTTATTAAATTTCATATAATATTTAAATGCAATAAATGTAATTATATATATATATATATATATATATATTCAATTCATTAATGAAACTTTTTTTATAATTTTTAAATTTCTAAACTGAATATAATTATTTTAGTTTTTTATTTATTTAAATTATTAGTTTAAATTTAAAAGATAAATAAACACTTCAATTTCAATATTTAAATATTTTATTTTTTTCTTATAAATTTACATTTTAAATTGTTAGATCTTCATGTTTGTTTATTATTTTTTTTCAATAAACGCATATAATATATAGATATTACAACTATTTAATTATTTTCATTTATTGTTATCAATCCCATTAAGTTTTGTATTTTCATGTTTCTATTGGACCGAGTAAAGAAAATCACACCCTAAGATATCATTTGGCAACAAAAACCAACATTTTGTTCACATTTTTAGAAATAAGAAAAGAACAGCAAAAACGACATTAATATGATAGCTATATATTTCCTTTTTTCAATGAAGCGTAGACAATCTTTTTGAAAATTGTAACATGACATGTTTTATGATCTTCATTGTGAGTGTTCTAAAATCTTAATCGAGTTAGAGCAACGTATGGGTTTTACACTTTTCCAAACATGAACCTTTTCTCCATCTTTTGCTAACTTTTTCATGCATTTTATCTCTCATCCCTCCGATTTCTTTCTTCCCTACACGTTATGTTCTCTTTAACGATTGATGCATGTCATTGTCATATCATGAATGTTTCTTTTTCACACTATAAATTTGTCCTATGTAATATGTATATCTCAAATACGTGGATTTTTTTTATAATATAATGTTTAAATGATCGTTACTAATAATGTTATGCGATAAAAAACATACATGTTAATTATCATAAACCGTTTCCAACGTTAAACAACTTACTTTCTTATATTACGCACGTTCCAATTTCATTATATTTCATCTTAAATAGGGTCAAACATAAAAACTCATATACAATTTGAATGACTCAAAGTTTGAAGTGTATTGGAATTCTTACAACTTCCTAAACCGGATTATTAGGAAAGAGATGCTTCTTATAATATTCTAAGTTTAATAACCATAACTATACATTAAGAAATTTTAAATTCCTTAAAAGAAAGAAAAGGACCCCCAACTTGATTTTCTACCTCTAAACATGCTGAACAGTTAAAGGTGATGCTTTAACTTATCATATTTTTCAAATGGAAATGAAGTATGTAATTATTACGTGTAAAATAAAGAAATATGGTAATATTTGACATAACTAGGTTATAACCCTTGAAATCACGGTTATTATGATTAAAAAATTTATATGGACAAAAAATTAATAACTGCAAAAACAACATTAGCAATTCATCTGCAAAAGGAATATTAAAAAACAAGGAAAACAAAAAAAATAATATAAAAGTTATACGATATACATTTTCATCCAAGAAAATCATTTCGATGGAATACTTTTCGTTAGCATCAAATATAGAATTGAGCGTCACAACTTCAATATTTTTATTTTGATCGTTAATTCAAAATTGACTAGGTCAACGTCTTTTACAAATGTAATATTTGAGCATCCATATTTCCGTAAAAGAGTATAAAAGTAAAACATTATTTACAACAATGTACTTTGAAATTACATTGCTATATATAACAGTTTTTTTTTTTTAATATATGAAATCAAAATACTTTGAAAGTACATTGGTATAGAACGGTGATTTAGTGAAATAAACACGTCATTTTACAGAAACTGATATGACCATTTACCCCTTGAAGATGCGAAACAGAAAATAAATGTTGTTATTAGAAATAAGAATGATATGACGATTTTACCCCATGACATGAGAAGCAGAAATTGATTGTTGTTATTAGAAAAAAAAATCCAATTATTTTGAAAAAAAATGAACCGGGTAAAATCGTAAAACATTTGTTAGGGGTAACTAAAGATTTATTATTTATAGCAGTGTACTTTGAAAGTGCATTGCTATAAGCTATTACATAGTTTCTTTTTTAAAATAATTGAAAGAAATATACTTTAAAACTGCATTGATATAAAAAGGTCATTCAGTGGAAAAAAAAAACACATGACATTTTACATAAACTGATAGGATCATTTTACCCCTACCAGATGCGAAACATAAAGTAATTGTTGGTATAATGGTAAATCATCTATTAGGTGGTAGTTGAAGTTTTATTATTTACATCAATGTACTTTGATGTAAAATAGTTTTTTTTATTCATTTAGTGGACAAAACACATGTCATGAATATTGAAAAAAAAAAACTTAGTAAGATAAATTGAATTCCATGATTATCAATTCAAAAAATAAAACGAGGATGGAAATTCATGAACTTAGTCTACTAGTAACAACATGGTTTCATGTAAACTACATTGTTGTTATCAATGTATAAAAAACCAGTCAACGTAAGAAATTAATAAGAAGTAATAATTCGTGGGGTTTTTTTGTTTTACTGTGTGATTTTGTGTGATAGAAGATGAGAAAGAAAAAACAAATCAGAATATTACAACAAGGATTAACATG